ACGGGCTGTCACAGCGACCTCAAGCAGACGCGACTCCAGTCTCACGGCGTCATGCACGGCAGGGCGAGGCACGCTGCGGCCACGGTCCTTCTCCGTGGCAACCCTAACCCCCGGACCCCCGAGGGGCGTCCCCTCCCCGCCGTCCAGGCCCTGTCACGTGCCGGGAGCAGTGTAAACAAACAAGCACCGGCGTGCAGGAACCGCCTCCCTGCGGCCTTCCCACCCTGAGACCGAGGCCGAACCCAGGCAGAGGTCGTATGCAGTGATATCGACGACGGTACCAGTCAATGAGTTCCGGATGCAGTGCAGCCGTCATTAGACCAGAGAGTGGCTGGGATGGGACCCAGATTACCGGTCCGTCACACTAACACGGCCCCCGGGGGCTCAGTTTAGTATCAGTCACCGGGACCCAGATTACCGGTCCGTCACACTAACACGGCCCCCGGGGGCTCAGTTTAGTCATCAGTCACCGGAAAAAAAGACGGACTAGCTGCCAGCTCGTAACCAGTTAGCGCGGTGCTACAACGAGCTCTGCAAACAAACGCAATAAACCGAGGCCTTTGTCAGGAGCCACACAATCCACTAAGCCGGCTAACCGGCCCGGCCCACTGCGAACTAGAAAGAGAAGCCCAGCTGTCACCGCGCCTATCGGTCCGACGGCTGATATTGCAGACAGGGGCGGTCGGTAAATCGAGGTCACGCTCACGGGGCAGGAGGCACACACCCTGCCCTGCAGCATATCCGGGGTGACACAAGCTTGCAGATGAACGTCACATGCATGGTTGTTACAGCAAATAGGTCATCCAGCTGCTACGGAAGATAGACGACTAACAGGCCGGGAAGACACATCCATCTGCTGAATGCATACACAAGTTTATCTTATGCTTCATGAATCATCAATAGCTATCTAATAAAACAAGGAGAGAGGGAAAGGAAAATGGGCTGACGATCGTTGGAGGGTATTTACTGGCCGAAAAATAGGGTCGGATGGCTAGTCCCAGCGTCTGTAAGGTCAAGCAGCTGATTCCAGCACCTGTAAGGTCGGCCAGCTGATCCCGGCAGCCGTAAGGTCAGGCAGCTGGTCACAGCAGCGGTAAGGTCAGGCAGCAGAGTTCCAGCAGCTGCCGAGTGCCGGCTCGCTTACCTTGGGTCGCCGGCCGTCCACGCAGTAATCCAGAGTCCGGTACGGCCGCTCCGTCGGGGCACACAGGTAATCCAGAGTCGTGCAGTGTTGTTCCGTCGTGTCAAACAGCTCACCACACCGGCCGAGGGGCCGCGTCGGCACGTGATCCACCCACCAGTAGCACCCGCCGCCTGCGACCAGCTCCTCACAGCTCCCAGCTCAGCAGCACACTGCCGGCGCAGTATTTACTATGGCGGAGCGGCGCGCGGCGGATTGATCGAGAAGGCGTGCCGGCCGGCCGGCCAATCACAGCCGGCCGCCGGCCCGCGTCACTGAGCCGCACCAGAGGCGCATATTTAACCGGCCTGTCCTTGGCCGGCAGAGTGGCGCCACCGCCGGCCGACCTGCCGGGTCAACACACGGCCCGCCTGCAGCGGGGTCAACACTCGGGCGGCACAACACTGGGGCGTGACATATGGGGGAGACACTCCGCGGCCTCAGCTCGGCCAGCCTCCTCAGGACAGCTTCACTGGGCTCTGAATGGGCACTTCGGGGGCCATCGAATCGAACTTGGACCGGGGACTACGACAATAAAAAGTGAAAAACATAAAACTTCGACACTGAGGCGAGCTGTTCCGAGTTCTGAGCTCTGAGCTCTGAGTCAGCTCTGAGCTATTCACCACTGGGAATGAGGCTCATGATACCCTGCTAAGGGCCCGAACCAGTTGTGGAACACATAAGGGTCCTCGCGGATCCGGAGTGGATCCACATTGCAAATGTTATTCTCCCGGGACCGCGGGACCCAGAAGTAGGTCCACGTGCCACTTCCCGGGAGCCGAGGCTACGTCCGTCCAAAGCAGGTTTATAAAGAGAGGGAAGGCAACACCGGCGGCAAAAATATCGAAAGAAATTGAAATGTACAGTCTGTCTTAAAAGTACCGCGCAAAGTGGCGGTGGATCCATCAAGCCTGACCGAGAAAGGGCCTGTTTTAATTAAAAAGTCACCGACCAATTGACCTAGGGAATGGATAAGGATGTCAGTTGCTTCAGTGACCCAAATTTAGCAGGCCCTTGCTCAGTCAGGCTCGATGGATCCACCGTCACTTTGCGCGGTACTTTTAAGACAGACTGTACCTACCAGGGCGAAAACGCATTCCTAAAAATGCATCATTATTTGTGCCGAATGATTGTTGAATCGTCAGTCAGAATATTTCCCTGTAAGAACAGAAGTCCGTTAGCAGAAGCGGCAGCAAATGAATTAATTAAACAAGCCAGTCATGTTTCAAATTCTGCAGCAGGTGCTCGGAGCGCTGCGGCTTGACCAGTACTATCAACATGATGTCGTTGACGGTGCGGACAATCGGACACATCACCGCATCATAGCGGAAGCCGTGTTCGGACGTGGCCCGGCCGATGACGGCATTTCTCGGTATCGCGCAGTGTTGTGCAGCGATATACCGGTTTTATCAGACCGAGTTGCGCCATATCTCAATTGCTATCCGAGGTCAGTTTCATGGTCATGTGTCGAAACACGTTTTATATAAGACCATGCTTCCGTATTGCACAAACGGTACCTACTGAGGGGTTACATAAACAGCACTTTCATACGTCAGAGCATACGTCTGGGGGGATCTATCTACTCCGACGGCATTCACGAGGTTAGGCGCGGGTGGAGTTTTCCACAGGCAAGGGCTGCTGGACTGAGACGATTAGCTGCAATACAATAACAATACGGCATACGGATACCTAATGATTTCAGTGATTTACTTAAAGCCATTAGGGTCCTACTACAGTGCTTAGGTCTTATTAGCGGCCGATTCACACGCATGTGCTTCAAGGTGCTTAACCCTCGCCCGCACATGGGGGGGGGGGGTTGCCACCCCCCAGGTAGTCTTTCTGCTCTGCACTCAACATTTTTAGAGCTAGAAAGCTGATTTTTCGTATAGCTGCTCGTCTATCCTTTCTTGATGTTCGCTGAAAATTTCAAGTTTCTATGATTTTTGGTTTCGGAGATATGACCTTGTTTTTCAGGTCATGTCATGGCCCAAATGGCCTATTCTCAACATCTTGCGTTTGCCATGGGCCTTGTGAGCTTTTGACACCCTGATTTCGGCCTTTTTTGCCAGTCTTACCTCCCACCTATCATGGAACATGTTGTTCGACGATGTACAGGGGTCAAGGTCAGGGTCAAGGTCAACCTAGGTCATCTAAGATAATTGCGTTTTAGGCAAGCTGAATTTACTTTTTGTGAAGTTTTTTGGTTGCATTTTTGGTAAAAGCTTCTCAGATCATGATTTCATGTAATATGGACCCAAAACCAATCGGTGCACACATCAGTATACACACAGACACACACAGACATACAAACACATATAATTGACCTTGACCTAACTTGACCTGAAATGACCTCAGCGGCAAAATTCTGGTCGGGTAGTGTGACAAAGAGGTTCTAGCTGGCTTAGCACCAGAAAACAGCATCGTCATCGGTATTTGATAAGCAGCGCACTTGATATCCAGCGGTGACCCAAAACAGCAACATTTTTTAGTTTGACCTGACCTGGAAGGTCAATGACTGACCTGAGAAAGTAAAACTGGGTATCATTGGATTCGTCTCTTCCCAAAGAATCTTTTTGGTCTTTACCGCTAAGCTCTATCTCCAACAGGAACGAAATGGCGCGGGGGGGGGGTGGCAACCACCCCCTCCATGTGCGTTCTAGGATGGGAAAATGGCATGTGCGGGCGAGGGTTAAAGACATTAGACTGCATTTTAGCAGATAACCGTATTGAAATAAAACATCGAGCAATGGAAGCCTTCTGCCACTTTAAAATGTAGACGCCAACATTTTAACATTAGCACAACTCGATAGTAGCAACACCAAAAATTTCAGCATGGTCCTAAACTCACGAGATGCGCACATCATGTTGCGATAAGGCAAAACAATCCCGGAACCGGGCTTCGATCCACAGGTCATTCCAAATGGCACCACGTGTCTCAAGTGTGGAACCATGTGTCATTTCTCTGGGAACCATAGCTGGTTCACGGACGATCCGGCGGCCCAGCCTCTGTCCAAATGTGGGACGCCGCGGCCGTCGATAAACCGACTGCCCGGCGCCGGCCGGTTCGGGACGGCTGGCACCAAACACTGCCCCGTCGGACGCCCATGAGCGGGCGCTCTGCTGATGGCTGTGGGACGGGGACGGGGGGGGGGGCTGTGATGATAACACAGATCTGACGATACCTCGGCCGGCTGCAGTACCACACTGACACTGCTGTGGCTGAGATGACACTGACACAGGGTGTAACTGACATGGCACTGACACAGGGTGTAACTGACATGACACCTCGGTTGTAATGACCCGACAGCAGCGTCAACCGCGGAACGTTCGGCTGTGTGCCATCGAAAGTACATATGGACATATACAGTATACCCTGTAGTGCAAACGCTGTGCTTGATGGATGTGTGAGATAGCACGGCGTCGAGTACCCAGAAGTACCGCGGACAAACGAGACAGCAGCGGTCAATGACCTTTCTTTGTGGAAGCCAGAGACATGACAGATGTAAGCATGCATACTGTATGCTCGTATGTGTAGAAAATCACACACTGTTGGAATACATCATGCAGATGGTAATGCCACGGAATATATAGTCTACGACATATATTCCGTATATGTCGTAGACTATATATTCCGTGGTAATGCAATAATTAAAGGATGGTGCATTATGTCGCTCAATGTTCGGCATTTTAAACATCGGAAAGTTCCGAAGAAAAAAGTCAATTAGATATCGAAAACCTTCTTTCCATTGGAGGTAACATAAAGGGATGAGGGTTTTAGGATAACCCAGTCGGAGCAACAATCATTCAAAGTCAAAGAATATTTCACGTTTACAAGGATACATTGTATTGTTACCCATAACACAATCCGCTAGAATATTACCCATACATCGCCTCTGGTACGGCGCTACGGTCACAGCACGTGGCTCGTAAGTACCGAACGTTTCGCCGCTCCCAATATGAACACAGCTGAGTACCAAAACAAACAACCCGTCTATCGCACGAGCATAAAGCCATACCACGCATGCTACGAGTAAAATGGAAATATACCCTCTAGGCCACACTGCTACAAAAACAGACAGCAAATACAGATATAAGAGTATAACCAGAGTATATCGGAGAGAACTAGCCTATGCTCCTGAATTAGCCGAGTGGACCCTGTTTCCCGTATGATATGGACACAGAACTAAAAACAAATCCGTGTAAAATATACGTTAAATAGCATTCATAGAGAGCAGGTACACATACGATAACCGAGAACATGTGGGCCAATTATTATGTTTTGATTAACATGATATAGTAGCAGCAGTAAATGACCATCATGCTACACCCATGTTTACACCATTAACTCGCGTTCCTAAAATTCCAAGCATAGCTAGTTCACGTGCGGTGACGCCATATTGGCTAATCATTCACGTGAAAACATCGGCTGGATGTGCCAACCAGTCAGTATGAAATGCACCAGCAGCCTGCCATGTACACAGATGACGTCATTAGCAGAGGTCGGACATGCGATGAAGGCCACTGGCTGCTGTGGTGACACGCCGCGGCTGGCACACAGATACAAACACAGGTGGCCGAGCAACAGAGGACTGCCTTTTTCGATACATTTAGGGTGTTCCACTGAACTCTAATATTCACTCCAAGACTTATTGTCGTTCAAGCAATTTACGCCTCAATAAAAAGACTCAACCAACAAAGGCAATCGCATTGTCCCGACTTGCCTAATCTCACTGTTGATACAGCACACATCCATTTTTACAGCCAAGTTATAATGATTTTTATTGTCTGTGAAACTTGGAGTGAATATTTATCTTAAATGGAACAAAATCAAGACAGCATAAGGACATCAGTTGTAAGGATTAGCAATACAAAATGAGTTTAAGTACATTTCATCAATGGGCGCATATAAAACTTCGCAGGTAAGCATATGATTTTGAGAGACCAACAGATGTGGGAAAAACGTTAACATGCTGTGTAAAAGTACGCTACCATAACTTTCAATAAAATTTCAAGCACATTTCATTATTTACATATACAGCTACGTTAAAATACGTTAGAATAATAACGCACAAATATAAGGCAAGCCTGGTAAAAAGAAAGCACGCAGTTTAAGTGACCCCATCCTGCTATACGAACCATTGGGGGAAAGCGCCTCAAGATACAATTGCCATCACCAAGTAACGTTTCCAGTTTCCAGTGCCCGACACGACTTAACGATCACGCGGCGTCCTCCTTTCACAGTGTGGCACAGTACTACCACTATAGCTATGTGATAAAAAAGGCCCACGGGCGTTGACTCTCAGCGACAACAGCCGTCACATGGCACTAGGGCTAGACCCCAATAATTGGGCCCTAGGGGGTTACATTCAGAGGGAATGTCTCGGTGCAACGTGCGCCGGAAACTGAAGCCACGGGGAGGCGGACATGCTCCTGCACTAACTTTAGATCGGGAATTTCTCTAATAAAACGCTTGAAAACGCACCATTCCGCTTGAAGGGCTTGGAGTGGAGATGGTGCCATACTTTTAATGCGAATTCTTATCTACCAATCACGACGCTACTAAATGTTGATGAATCCACTCCGTACCAATCGCATGGCTTAGGATAAAATGACCCTAAGAGAAAGCCATCGGAATGCGGGAATAAATCAACGGAATGCAAGATCTGAGAACTGTGCCACTAAAGCACAGCTGCCCTAAAAGTCTCCTCACAGCACATCTTGTTGAACCACACGGCAATCTAACCACATCGCTAATAACACTAGAATCGTTTTGATTTCATTACTTAGCCACTGATAAAGCAGGTGCAGACGGGACTGATTCCATTCAGCCGAGAGAAGCTGAGCATTAATGCTATGTGATGGTGATGCTGGCACTCAAATTGACGCCGTCTTCTGCAACCTTCCGCATACGAATCGATTACCGGAGACAGGGGCTCCATCATTCAACACCAAAATTTCTGTAGCATTACTACTCAAGGTCTCTCTTATATCGACGCGCATCCCCGCGAATTCCCTTCTTTTACAGATCACTCCACCGAACCGGCTTCGCGGGACTCCCACAGCACCCGCCGCCGGTGCCGTCTTACCTAGTGGTCGGACCCATCTCCTACTGAAGCACTAGCTCCGCTACATGCCCCTCCGGCAGGACTGACCACCTAATTGCTCAGTCTTGCTCATCCAATATCCATAAGAAGCGCCGCCACTACTCCGTGGTTTCCCAATGGGACTGACCGCCTATTGAAGCACCATCAGGATCATCCGGTGGGACTGACCGCCTGCCGTGCCGCCGCCGGGCCGGGCCGGGCCGTCAGCCCAGCATGAGGCCGTGGTTCTTGCTGAGCCGCTTCCTGGCGCGGTCGTCGACACGCGAGAGCGGCCCGTTGACCACGGGCAGGCCGGTCTGGAGTCCCGAGGTGCGCTGCTGATAGTACGTCTCGGTGGAGCCGCTCCGCTGAGCCAGGAGAACGTCCGACGGCGTCCTGCCGCCGGCGGAACGAGGTGGCCATTAGACAGAGCCGGGTACAGAGTCTACAGAGTACAGAGTACAGAGTACAGAGTACAGAGTACAGAGACAGAGTCTGTATTAATGGCAGACTCACATACGTCAGTATTAAGTTTGTCAGTCATGCATTTTTACAGTCTTTAGTTAAAAATTTCTTAGTGATAAGAACCGCTTGCTAGATTATACACACAGCACGAGGTACCACGAGGCGGAGCAGGCAAACAACTGGCAAAGGACAGTCCTGGCGCAAGTGAGCAGCCCCGCCCCTCCGCCGATACACGCATTCTATCTCCATTCCCTCTCTCCCCGTCCTTCCACTACTCTCCCCCATCCTCTGACTAGGCTTCCCCCAGCCTGTATCATCGTGTCAGCAGAGCCGCCCCGGCCTCACCTGATGCGGCAGTCGGCCAGCCGGCCGGCCAGCAGGTCGGCGTGCACCATCTGTACGAGGTGCGAGTCGAGCCGCGTGGCGCCCTCTGACTCCAGCTGGCGGCCGGGACCGGCGGCGGGCGCGGCGGACCCGTCGCCGCCGGCGGCCGGCCGCTCGCGTACGGACACGTAGCTGTAGTGCTGGCCGTGGAAGGACGGGATCGAGCGGTAGCTGCGCAGCATCGTCTCCAGCTCCAGCAGGCCGGCCCCGGTCACGTGGTTCTGCGGGGGAGGAGATAGCGGTGTTATTGTGATGCTGGTACGCGATAAAGCTCTGGTGGAAGCCGGAAGGCAATCAAGTTAGCCTTGACGAGGACCTGTTTATCCCTTGGCATCCCGTTGTATGTAATTCTGAAGTTCTGAACATAAAAAACAAGTCTAACATGAGCGGTGCAGCATCGTTCTAGAAATGTGTGTTGTCTCCTGCGCATTCAGAGACTGATCTGGAATCACAAAGCTATCGACATGCGGCCTCTAGCATTCGCTGTCACGCTCACACAGCTGTCATCACACATCCTCCGGTCGGCTCCGACGGCCGCTATCTGCGACTCACCAGGTGCTGCACGGTACCGCGCAGGGCGGCGCCGCGCGGCGGCTCCAGCAGCACGTGACAGCGCAGTTTACCGATGGCGTGTGTGTAGAGCAGCGCCGCGACGAGCGGCTCGTCGGCCGGCAGCTGCGGAGTGCCGCCGTCCGGCAGCTGCGCCGCCAGCTGGCGCGGCCGCCAGCTCAGCTCCTCGCCGTCGCTGTAGAAGCGGCGTCCGACGGGCCGGCCGCGCGGCGAGCCGGCCGGCCGCGAGCTCTCGGAGAAGTAGCCGGCCGGCGCGCCGCGCACCGGTCGCCAGGGGGGACCGCGAGCCGACGGCGAGGGCGGCGGCGCGACGCCGGCCGGCTCTGCGACCGCCAGCCGCGGCGTGTACAGCCGGTTGGAGCGGGGGATACCGAAGCTGTATGGGTTGGCCGAGACGGCCGTGAACGCCGGCTGGTTGTCCGGCAGCGACGCCTGCAGCTTGCGCACCTCGTCGCGGTAGAGGTCCGGCTGGCGGCGCTTCAGGTAGGCCAGGTTGGAGAACGGCTCTGGCACGTCCAGCTCGGTGAGGCTGCGGCGCGGCCGGCGGCTGGCGCGCGACCGCCGCCGCAGCTGGCGCACCGGAATCTCGTCGAGCGCCGGCGGCGGCGGCGGCTCGGCGCGCGCGCACTCGGCCGACAGCGCCTGCAGCGCCAGCGCGCTGATCCGGTGCCGCACGGCCGCCGGAGACTCGGACTCCATCGGGTCCGGCTCGGCGGGCCCGGACGGCGCGGCGGCCTCCGGCGAGCCCGCCGGCACCGGCCGTTTGTCCGGCGACTGTCGCCGGCGGCGGCGGCGGCGCCGGACCGCGTCCGGCCGGTTCTCCTTCCCCGGCCTGGCGTCGGCGCCGCCCTCCTGCGCTGAGCTGGTGACGGAGGCGGCGCCGCTGCCCCCGCCGGTCCCCTCTGTAGCCTCGTCAATGGCCACGAGCGGCGGTAGGTCGGAGGGCGAGGAGGAGGGCGGAAACTGTGGGCAAACGCACACAGGTGTCGGCGAGGGTAGAGCGAGCGTGACCCAGGGGAGTAGCTCGGTAGTGTTAATGTGAAGCTACATCAGCATAGACTCAAGGGAAACAATGTACGTGACGTGGGCCTATCCCTCTCAACATATATCATAATCGAGTAACGTCGCACAGTTATTATTAGAGGAATTAGTGGCAATTCCCTAGCGTTGATAACCATGAAGCGTCACAAGGAAAACCGTGAAAACAAACCTCTTATTCTAAGTACTTATGTACGTGTGACTACCACCCAACTATCAGCCCACCATTATCAGCCCACTGCTAGTGCTATCCACCTCTGACTAAACAAACGGCGGACACCGCGTCCACACCGCGACCCATTTCGGCCGGCGATGCCACCCACCTCCTCGGATTGGACCCAGCGTTTCTCGGCGCCCGCCCTCAGCCCCGTGGCCAGCGCGCCGCCCAGGTGCACCCGCGCCAGCAGCGTGCCGGGCGGCATCACAAAGTCCACGTCGGCCAGGTCAAAGGCGTCCTGGAACCGGCACAGACACCGAATCGTTACATGCTATTCGATTTCGAGATAAGAACAGGTTAGACGGACAATTGACGGTACGTTCAGTGAATGAGACGGACAGCCTGCAGCTGACCTAAATCTTACAGACTATTGTTTACAACGAGTTTGAGCTACTATCTAATCTAAGAGACCGGTTATCCGAGCTGTAACCTATATGAGTAGCGCGGTTCGTGCGGTCGCCACCCTTTGAGTGGTTCTTCCTTACCCCTGGCAGCCGGTGAATGTGGACGAGAGCCTCGAGCACCTCCTCGATGTCGTCATTCGAAACAACCCTGCAGCAGATACATCAATATCAAATAAGGACGTTAATCGCCTAACGTCTTCAGCAAACATGATCGTGTGAAACATGTCGGCTTAACCCTCGCCCCGTTGGGGGGGCCATTTTGGCCCCCCCCCCCCCTGTGGTTTTTCCTGAATAGCAGGAAAACGGCGGCGCGCAGCGCCGCCAAATTTTCAGCACCTTCCCGGGCATCAATTTGACACCTTCACACCAAATTTCAAGTCTTAGGTCACCTTAGGTCAGGAGTTATTGAGGTCAAACTGAGGTCATGTTCGAGCAAAAATGAGCAAAAAACATGCAATCTTGAAACGCTCACCAAATCTACAGTTATCAAGCAAATTTAAAGTTCTTTATATGGTCTAGTAGACAAAAAGCGGCGCTACAAAACTGCTATCTCGGATTTTCAAAATTTTTGGTTTTTGACCAAAAAAATTCAAAAAACTGATTTTTTTTTAGAAAAACTCGAAAAAATCCAAAATTTTTCCGAATTTCGAAAAAAACCGGAATATATGTGATAGTCCCAGCGCTCTTCTATATACATACCAAATTTCAGATCGATATCTCGTTTTTTGGCCAAGTTATAGCGAAAAAAACTGTTCAAAAATGATGACGTCAAATTTTTGAACTCAATTTTTTTTTGCGATTCTAGACCACGTACGGCAAAACAAAGACCACCATTGAACTCCCCGTGACGAGCTGCATCGATTCGGTACCCATTTTATGCAAAAATATCAACTTTGAATTTGGACCTAATTTGACCTGACCTTGACCTGACCTTGACCTGATTTTGACCAAAACGTGACCTATGCTGGCCCCAAAGGCTGCCTCACCCACATAATCGCATTTGTCATGTAAAATGGACCATAAAACATGTATCACACGACACTTTCATATTGTGACCCCTCCGTGACCTGACCTCTGTGACCTGACCTGGTATCAGTGACCTCAAATAGCAAAATATGTGTTTGAAGAACATTTCCCCATCGATGATTTTCAATGAAATGCATTTTACTCGATTTTACAACGCATTTCTTGAAATGCTTGTAAACGGTGAAAATTGGACCTTTGACCTGACCTGTGACGTCATCGGTTTGACCTAGGTCAATAAAATTGGGTCACAAGGTAGTTCCCCGTTGGGGCTATCCAACGCCGTTTACCGCTTGTCGCTATGTTGCGTGGTTCTCGAGATCTTAGGGGGGGGGGCCAAAATGGCCCCCCCTCCCAACCGGGCGCGTTGCTCGGCAGAGCCCAACGGGGCGCGGGTTAAAGTGCACTACAAGTGGACATAACAAGTAAATAAGCCAAAACATCACACGCATGAGATAAATCATGCAGTCGGTTCGCCCCCATCATTCCGGGTACCGGGCAGTGGAGAGTTGCTTACTTGGCGTCCCAGCAGAGGGTGCAGCTCAGCACCCCCGGCAGCCGCAGCGCCGCGCTCTGAACGTCAGACAACTGCTGCGCTATGAAGTCGTCCTTCTGAGAACGGACAGCGCGCGGAGGCACGACTGAGACACGGCGCGCCGAACTACCACCACACGGTGCACACACACAGACACACGGGCAAACAGACACACGGAGCGGGCAGAACGGCAGCCGACGGCTACGGCAGGCGTACAATCAGGCTCTGACATATCAGACGAGGATCAACTGGTGGACGAAAGACAACATCAACGAGACGGTCTATATGATTATGGACCGATACTGAATGCAGCCAACTGATCTAACATTGACCAGCACCATGCATTAATTTAATCATTGGAAATAATTCGCACTGCGTGAAAACCTAGTGACAAGAAGAACGTCATTGAGCGCAAGCAAATAAGTACGTTGAACCAGCCCATTATTTCGCCACCATGCTTATCTAGCTAAATCTACACAAAACCTTATTCTGAATGTGAAGTTGTTTGTTTCAGCTGACCTATGAAAGCCACCAGATGCTCCATTTAGATACCAACGTACAATGCTTCTCAGTCCTCACCGGTGATTCTCGGGCGCCCGACACCGCTGCCTTACCCATCGTACTACCGTCGGGGGGGGGGGGGGGGGAGTTGGGCGCCCGGACTACAGTGGTCATCGGCGGTACTACCGTCGTGCCGCCACCCACCTGGGCCCAGTCGAGTCGCGGCACCACGTCCAGGACGCGCTCGAGCGGCGGCTGGCCGCCGGCGGCCGCCAGCAGCGGGCCCAGCGTGCGCGCCAGCCGGCGGCGCAGCACGCCGCGGTCGCCGCCGGCCGCCGCCAGCAGCGCCGACAGGCTGCCGTGCAGCAGCCGCAGCGCCTGCCGCGTGCGCGTCAGCTGCGCGCGCGTCACGTACGGCTCGTCCTCGCCCGAGGTGTGCATCACCTGAGACAGAGAGCAGAGACACTGGGTTAGGGGTGTGCATCACCTGAGACAGAGAGCGGAAGGATCAGCTGAAGAGGCACTCGCTGTGGAACGTTCGGTGCGACAGTGTATTCAGCGTGAGCTAAACTGGTAGAGATAAAATATCTAGTAGGTAAAGGAACACATAAGACACCCAATGAGAATTATTTAACGCACCGATCCAGAGCGAGTCATATTTCAGTTGTTCAGCTGTCCTTGCATTCACAGCTTATCAAGAGGGAAGGCACATAACATTTATTTGAAAGCCTGTTTCCAGCACCTTGACTCCTCCATATCCGAGTGCTTACCCAGACAAAGTTGCTTTCTCTGTGCAGGACAAACTGGCCGTGCCGGAGGCGGATCAGCCGCGGGAAGGTGGCCATGTCCTTCTCAGTGAAGAAGGCGGTGCCCATCAGCTGGCAGACGAGGTGGAGCGCCGCGCTGTCCACGATGGCCGCGCCGTCCGCGTCCACCTCGCCGGAGAGATCCTGCACCACGTCGCCGCCGCCGCCGCCGCAGCGCAGGAAACAGATGGCCTCGGCCGGGTCGTCCTCCTCGCGCGTGCAGCACGTCGTGTCGTAGATGAACATCATCCTGCCGTACCTGCGGCAGTCCGCACCACCGTCACCGGGGCTGCACTGGTCAATGGTCATCCTACCGTTCCTACAGCAGTTCCGCACCACCGTCACTGGGGCTGCACTGGAGGCGAACCGAGCGTATTGCCGATCCTGGTGACAGCTGGTGATGATAATAACGTGGTAATGGAGAAAAAAAAATCATCAGGGCATGCTAGGAAGCTACAGTTTGGCTGTTTATTGAAGTGGTATCTACTTGTAAAGGCAGCACAATTATCAGCAGCAAAAAAAGGTTAGACAATTTACTTGAACACATTTTGGGAATGGCAACACAGGGAAAAGCATACATATGCCCTTAAATATGCCTTATTTTGGATACCACAATGTTTTGTCTCACCTTAAAACTTCATCCATTTTGGATATATGAAGGAGAAATAAAATGCTACTTCTTCAAGCTAGCAAACTTCACAAGTATCTTCGGACTAAATGAACATTGTTAAGCCTTGCATTGTTAAGTGCTTCATTCAAAACAGATTTCAATGCTCCTGAAGTGTAGCAACACTTGCAAAATGCAGATGAAACTGAAATTTCCAAGAAAGCCTGAATATTAGAGGGGCTGTGCCATGTAAACTCATCATTCACACATAAAGAAAACCAATGAAGACACACTCAGCTTCTCAGGTTAGTACACAGTAGTCAACTACAGAATGATGTTCCACTCCTCAGAAGCTATCAGTTGACCGGAGCGCTAAGTTGTGCCGTTTATCACGCAATTAAGCGTGTCGATTGTGAGCATTGGGACAAAGCCATAATTTGTGAACTCAGCCCGTGTGATGCGGCACAGCCTACCACTCCAGGCAAATAATTGCCTGTGAAAAGTGGAACATCATTCTGTAGTCGACTACATAGTGATCAAGACGGAAGCTCTAAGCTCTAAAAAGATGGCTTCTGTCCAAGATCGCTTCTGCCACGTCCTGGGTGTCAGAAGAAACAATCACCCGGAATGCCGGTCCCGTAGCTCAGTCGGTAGAGCGTTGGACTCCTCGTGGTGAGAGCACGCGTTCCCGGTTACAACAACGGTTCGAAGCGCGACGGGCGCTTGACGTTTATGGGCCTCCTGACAGGTAGGGTTGCGGTTGGTGGCACGCCTTAGCCAGGCGAAGTCAGTTGAGGGGACCGGCCGTGCGTGGCTATGTGCGCACGCTAAACATTGGACTCCAAATTCTGCCATAGAACCGGAATTGCGCGATCGCAGGGTAGAGGGCAAGGCCAACGGAACAAGCTTCGCTTAGCGTGGGCTCTGTCCTTTTGAATCTTTCTGTTCAAAAGGTTCGGACTTCAGACTAAATTTATAAAAAAACAAATTTTATTTTTAGCAAACCCAAATTGCTGAAAAATGGGAATGCAGTGCTGCCACTTCGACCATTTCCAAGGGGGACCAGAGAACCATTTAGGTCCACGACAACCAGCCAAGATCCAGTTCATTCCAGCCATACACTCCTTGATAAGTCAGGTTACCTCATATGGAGAGGGCAGCCCATATTTTTACACATCAATCATGTGCTGCTATATATTCTGGCAGAAGTGAACTAATAGATAAATCTCATCAGCAGATGCAGTTGGCTGGCATACACCCTTCTGTCTTGTATGGACTAAGGAATGATGCCACTTCATGGCTCTTGACAAAAAAAGACACTTGGCAGACAAAGAAGTCAAAACTGTGTATGGACACCGGCTCTAATATTCACAGGACACTGACACAGGACACATTCAGTTCAATCAACAACCGAGGAGGCTATAGTTAGAGACATGCAGATGCATCTCAAATCCATCCATCCATCAATCCTGACAGATGTCATGCATGCGAGTAAGTACAAAGTACATTGCTGATCCAGAGATTCACTCTATTTCATGACACAGGATCTAGATCCTAGGATTCCTTTTCCTCAAATATACTTTCAGAGGGGCTACCTAAGTCCTAAATTATTATGGGCAATGATAGGCTATTACATAAGTACTGTAGTTTCATTTTATAATGAACTGTATGACAATGAGCAGGCATATAAAATGCTGCATAGTCATTAGGCATAAGCATAGCACCTCTGTATACATGGACTGGACACAGAAAATCCGGCCATGACCACAACGGCCCTAAAAGTAAATGCTTATAACTCGAGAGTCAGTTCACCTACGACATCCATTTCTTCACCGCCGCATAGCCCCATTCATTGAAAATGATGGGGATCATCCGCCGAACCGATGCGGTGTAACGGGGGAGCACCAGCACGTGGCGCGTGAGAGATGTCTATGAAAATGGCGTGACAGTATCTCGGGAACGGCTGGACCGAATGAGTTCAGATTTGGCACCCAGCTAGGTATAACACACCTGCCAATAACGCATGTCCCAATTTTGAGGTGCCGATGCACGTGAGCACGTGCACACCCCTTTTTTGTATCTCAGAAACTACTCGTCCGATTTCGCTGAAATTTTGTATACAGGCAACAGCCTAACAACCATTGCTGGTTGACACCTCAAGCAAGGGGTGCGACTGCACGTGCGCACGTGCACACCCCTTGTTCATATCTTGGAAACTAGCCGCCCGATTTAGCTGAAATTTTGCATATATCCAAGTGTCTTATAACCATTGCTGGTGTTCGTCTCAATGTTAAGGTGCCGCTGCACGTGCGCACGTGCGCACCCCTCCATTATATCTCGGAGCTAAACAGTCCCATTTCGTTGAAACTTTGAATACAACCATGGTCCCCACAACTACCGCTTATTCACACCTGAATAGTTGATATCATAACTAAAAATAACAACAAACGACTCAAAACTGTTGATCGTGTAATCCAACAGATTCTGATCGTTGTAATTGTATGCGGATAAATATCCGGTAGTTGGTGAGCATTTGAGCTAATTTCCTATGCTGTTGTATTCTAGGATACTTGTTCTCAAAAACAGTATTAAGAGAAAAAACGTTAAATCGCTTTTATTGCTCTGAAAGGGGATAAAAGTGCAACGCTCATGACGGACCGTCTTAAATAAATTCGTCCTAATGACGGCGACGGAAAAGAGCACGTGACTTTCTGTAAAGTATCATTAGCATTATTCCCAGACCTACGTGTTTTGTCATAAAATAGGCATGAAACTGGAATTGTACATTTAAGTTTCACTTTTAAGTGTTTCATATTGAGGACTTATCATTAGTTTCGGTTGAAAAATTGGTGTCGGTGTGCATATACAAACTGATACGTTATTAGATGTCACAAGTAGAAGATTATTTGTTAAACAATTGTTCGTTTTTTAGCTGCATTTTGGAGAAGACCATTTACCTACAAGATCCCACAGGAAGTGCAAGCAAACGTTCCTGATTGACGCATCGTTACATCTATACACTGTGGTTCCATCCACCCTTAGCCAGATCTTTCCCAGCGTGAGTAATGCTTTATAGCTTGCTTCATTTTTATTTGTCTTTGCTGCTTTTTCTCTGGTATGTTTGCTCGCCAAAGTCGGTATTCAATAAACCAGATTAGTTACTGCACTGCCTACCATGCTTGGAAGGCATGCTCGTAGACAAGATAATCAATGTCATCGAATTCGAATCAATCTATTTGTGAGTGTCATTGATCAAACTATAAAATAGCAATCTTGACGCATTTACATTCATTATTACTTTTAAGTCGTTTGCTTCTCAATGCAGGTGTGCTTGTAGGACGTAGGTTAAAATCAAGTATCACTGTGTAAAGGCAGTTTTGCAATACATAAATCTATCCGAAACCTTACTTTTGCAAACACATTTACTTGTTCTTGTCATGCTATCGTAATGACTTTGCGGATCATGCTTGGCGAGGGCCGCTTGTTCTTAAAAGTAAAAGATTACCGCTAAGCACACATTATCCTATAAAGTGTGACCGACATACTTTTTTCTCTATTTCTTTCAGTGACGCCACTCACAGAGATAGTCAACGAGCCGCCAACGAACAATGCCCCAGGGATAGCACATCATCGAAATGCCAACTCCAGGAGCAGCAGCAGTCGCCGACATGATGTAGGAGGGAAAATTTATCAGCAGTGTTCGGTGCTTGCTGAAGAGTACAGTGACCTTAAGCACCATTTGGCACAGTAAGGCTGATACAGCCTTTGCTCCCGAGTGTAGCCCACGATGCAGCTCCACAGGCTGACCGGATGCGGAGAATCATTGCCTACAGCGTCGTTCATCGGGATGCGTGGACGGAACACTGGAGCACGCAGCCGCTGTCCTAACGATCCCGTTCTCCACCATCTGGCTGGTCCAGCGGTAGCTGCGTGCGACTGTCAGCTGACCGCTGCATAGCCCCACACAGGCCGTAGTAGCAGGGATCGAGCCGGCTCCGGTCGCCGCCCAGCAAACTATTCTGCCGGCCAAGGTCCTCACCGAGTTGGAAGCGCTGCGGCCCAAGTGTAGCGCCTGACGGCTGACGGCAGCACAATACAGCTGCAATAGGCCCCAGCCCACTGTGGACTCGCCGACAACGAGAGGGCGGACGCCCTGGCCAAGGAAGCGGCCGGGCTGTCCCAGCAGATGACCCCGGTTGACGTCCGCACCCTCACGCAGGTCGTTGCGCGGTCCACCAAGAAGAGGTGGCAGGCGGACTGGCCAGCTGGCTGGTATCGCACCGTCATGGGGGACCGCGCCCCCGCCCCGGGACGAGCCGCCACCAGGTAGGAGGCTGTTGATATCCGCCAGCTCCGGTCGGGTCACTGGAGACGATCAGAGCAGTAACTCCACCGGATTGGACGAAGATTAACGACCGAGTGCGCCCAATGCGAAGACAAAGAGTGTCCAGCGGGCCGCTGCCTGGTCTGCGGTGAACCAGCGGACACCCCGGCGCACGTGCTGCTCGAGTGCCCGTGCTTGTACATACGTCCCCGGCTCCGTGCGCTGGGAAACATCATCGGCGCGACCCACGACATCCAATGCGACGATGTGGTGGCGGCCTTGGCCACCGGCTACATGGCCCACAAGGGCCGTGTATCGGCTAAACTCTACCGCGTGTACTTTTCTGTCATCATTTTGACGAACACCCAGACCGCACAAGGGACACTGCATGATGATCCAGTTAAGCATCCAAGAGCTCAGTAGCCGTCAGCGCCATATGAATGGAGTGCCATCCCACTCCATCCTTCTTCTCATTTTCAATTTCATCCCACCGCCACCGGTGGTGGAACAGAAAGACTATGAGTGGCATGCACCAGCACTTATCCGTGGACATCCAACAGCTCTGTGTAAGCCATTACATTGTTGGGCATAGCCACTGTTGGGCTCTTGCTATTATTACAGCGGATTTCAAGGAACCTTTTCGAGAAGTGCAATAAGTGCTCGACCATTGGCGGGTCGGTGAGCCGTGTGACGCGGGAAAGCATGTACTCTCTAGCACATCTTTTTCGAGTGCCCTTTCTTCATGGGTGACTGATTGGGGGAAAAACGGCACCTCTTCCACCCGAACAAGTACCCAACAGCTCGTCCCGGGATTGGGCG